TCCTCTTTTTTTTTTTTTTTTTTTTTTTTTTTTTTTTGGGGGTGGGGTGGGGGGGGGGGGGGGATGCATTTTTGAATAGTGTTGATGGGAAGTTAGTGGTTAAAAAAAAGGGAAAAGTTTTGGATTTACGTGTAATATTATTTTATTGAATGTGTGCTGGAAATTATGTCAAAACACAGTTTAAAAATGCGTTTTTTTCCCCAAAGAATGGGGCTCAAACAAGGGCTGAATGTCTTCATTTACTTTTACGGATGTTACAGATTAATTGCTTCTTTCATAAAGGACACTCTTCTTCACCACTTTATCAAACTACCTTGACAAAAATATTCCAGTTTCAAATCAAAATCTGAAACACAGGGCCCTCTCACACGACGGGTTGCAGATGGCATGGTACACAAAAGTCACGTGGTCTGAATTCCCCAAGTAAAATGATGATATTCAACTTCAGATGGAGAGGGGATATTATAGCAAGTGCATTGAAGGCATTAACTACTCCATTCACATTTTGAAGCAGTAGCTATCTAAAGCTGAACTTTAAATCAGCGCAAGATGCTGTTTACAGACTTAACAATATACTCTAGTGCACTAGAAAAGAAATCGTTGTGTATGAAGGTAAACTATCACTGTGAGAGCACAATTTTCTAATTAAGATACATACTTGCACCATTTCACTGACAACGTTGAAACCTCCAGGTCCAACCATGGACCCTGCTAACAAGTATCCAGTAATAACCTGAGAATTTTTGTGAATAATAAAATCATAAAATTTTAGACTTGGGTAGGTGAAAAGATAGCATATAAACAATAAACTACCATAGGTCAATGAATGAAATCAGACCGGTTGTCCAGCACAAGCAAAAGCAATTCCACCACAAGTTGCAGACACGATGACGACGACAAGATCTGATATAAGCCTACAGAATCACCTAGTTAGGCTACCAGAATTGAAAAGGGAGGAGACTGAGGGCACCATATCAAATATGTAACTGGTAAGTTTACCTCAAGTCTAACTGCAGCACTGGATATTTAGATCTGAAATTTGATATAATGAAAACGTTGTCCTGCAAATACGTGATAATTGTTATCAATTCCCTCATAAAGGTGTAATACTTTTTCAGGTTCAATTGATTAAAATTCTTGCTTTGTCTTCTACTCTTAGAGAGAGGAAATGTTATTGATAAGCATAGTGGAACAAGTGATAAAGAAATATCAAGGGCCCTCAGTTCCATTTTCACCTTTCTATCAATCAAAGTTGGGGTTTCTTCAGCTCCATTGTCATTGTCCAGGTTGAAAACACTATGAAGTTTAAAGGATCTAAAATTATAGCAAAGCAGTTAATTACCAGCAAAAAGAAACTGTATGTTCAGGTGAGATGTCAATAATAACATTCTCCAAATTGAGCAAAATGCTTACTTTTCGTCCTTTGTTTTGGTCTCATTTTTCTTTGGCTTGACTCTAGCTACAGTTTCCAAAACTGCCTGATGGTGGAAAAATATAACCAGGTAAATCAAGCAAAACCTACTGTTTGAAATTAAAAGAGGAAAAAGAAGCAACATGCTTTGCAAGTAGAGCATTTCAGATAAGGAAAATTTAATTAACTGACTCAACCATGTCTTAAACGAGTTATTAGGGCATGAGCATTAATCCTCCATCTAAGCACGTGATAATACCCCATAACACAAGTATTATTCCTGGTGTCTTCCTTTTTCAAGTAACCAATCATGATGAAGATGTCCATTTTAAAGTTATGGTTCTTTTTAGGATTACGACATATATCTGTATTAGCATTCACAAGTTCACCACACTGTTTTAGCAGGGCATATGATGCAGATCCTACAACTAAAATAAGGGGGCCAAACCTTGATATCTTTCCATTTAAGTCTTTTAACTATTTCCTGGCACTTTAAGTCATTAAGGGGTGTTTAAGAAGTCTATATAAAAACTTTATGCATTGTTGTTTTTCTTGGTTGGATTTTGATCATTAAAATTAATGAAATTGTGAGAATTCTCTCCAATTCTTGGTTGCTTTCAGTATTCATGAACGAATCAATGAATCGTAATCGCATGTCCGTCCGCATCAGTGTAGAATTAGTATCGTCCAGCAATTGTCTTGTTTTACATGAAACTTTGTTTGAAGTTTCTTTCAAGCTATAAGTGCATGAGAATTATACTAAATCAATTCAACATATTTCGCTATAAGTAATGACAACATTGATGTTACTATCTCAAAGGATAAGCAGGCATGCATTAAGAGCTAACTTATAGTGTTGTTACCTATCAACTCCCTAAAACCACAATACTTACATCATTATTCATCAATATCAAGTACTCAAATTTTAGTTTTCCTAGTACTTGTCTTAAACTTGCAAAATTAATATATATGATTTGATACTGATGAAGAATGGTGTAAGCATTGAATTTTTAGGGACTTGATGGTCAAAAACACTAGAATTTAGCTATCTTGACGAGTGTCTATTTATCCTTTGAGACTAGTGTTGAACTTTCAATATTCAAATAAAACTCTACAAACTATCTATGTCTGGCAGGTAAGACAAGACAGTAAACAGAAGTTAATGTATTCATCCCTGAATTTAAATAAGATATTGTTGAACTTATTCTGGAGGGACAGGTGTATGGAGATTGGAGACAGTGCATTTCAGCTGCTCCCAATATTGTAAATTTCTTTTGTCAGAACATTGATTTGTATATGAACCATTATCCAGATAAGAGATTACTATTTTTTATGTGTTAATTACTTACTATGGTTTACCCAGATTGATTTACCATCATTTTTGGATTCCCAATACATTTTTCTAAAGGATGTGCTAGAGATGATTCATACATTGTGCATGTTTGGAAGTCCATGTAAGGACGCTTTTAAGCACTCTCACACATGCAAATTAACCAAACAAGCGATTACCTGCCATGGCACTGACTACTCAAGTTCACAAATTAGTATAATATCCCCTTTTTATGCATAAAGCAGTATTGACAAAGATCACAGAAGAAACACTGCCAGAAAAGTTGAATATCTGCAACGAAACAAACCTGCTGCTCTGCCACACTGTTGTTGAAGCTACCAGCATCATTTGCTGCCATTATAATTCAAGTACATAATTTAGGGAAAACCATAAACAAACAAGCATTTTCTCCATACATAAAAGTCAAAAAAATAACAATAATTGAATAAAAAATTCAATTATGATAAAAAACAAACTGCTCGGCAGTCCTTATAACACTGAGAATGCAATACCTAAATTGATGTCTCAATATATCAAAATCTTAATTTGAACTTAAAATTATTCTACACTATAAATTGACAAAAGCACTCGTGTATTGTACTAAAATCCGCCATTCACTTCTCAAGCACCGAAAGCAATCTACAAAACAATACCCCAAAAAAAAAAAAAAGAAGGGAACCGAGAGAAAAATAAAATCAGTTCCATAACACGCTGCTAATATCTTATAAATTCAATGGAGCTTAATTAAAAACCTTAACCTAAAAACATTCTAATGCAAAAATATAATTCAATGCAACAAAGCGAAAATGAGATGAAAGTTGAGATCTAAAAAACCTTTATTCTGATCCTCATTCTCAGTAAACTCTTTCTCCAGTGCTCGGTCGATAATGTCCGCAAAGGTGTCCTCCTTTGCCGCAGTCATATTACTTGCGGTGACATTACCGGCGTCGCGGTCATCAAGCAGTTTCGAATCTTCGGATTCAGCAAGCGATGCCGGCAAAGCAACAAGAGCTACGAAAAGTAAAATGAGCGCAGCTGATGATCTACTCATTGGGCGATTGGGGAGCAGGATACACAGGCCCCGGCGTACGTTAAGAACGAGGGATGGGAGACTGTACGAGTGATTCGGTGCGATACGCGTCGTTTTGTTTTGTTGTCGCTATCCACAGGTTGTCCACTACTCTCTGCTGCTCAGTACCGAGCACAAATCTGCGATTGACACAGAGAGGTGAAAATAACAAGAACAATTATTGATTTCTAAACCAGGTTTTTACGGTGGAATTTGGCCAACAACCTAACATAACGTTAAATAGCATTTAACCAATAATAAAAATAAATAGAAAAATATAAAATATTTTAGAGGGAATTTGTTAAAAAACCTAATCAAACAATGTTATTGATTATATAGTCTCCTTTTAATATTTTTTTGAACAAATAGTCTTCAATTATTAAACACAATAAACAAATAATGTCATTAATACAATCATTATTGGAAAAGGCCTTAATACCCTTATCAATCCAATTAAATTCTCCAATTCAATTTTTGGTCCCCAAATTCATAGTAACTCGATTTTTTCTCTTCAACCATTCCTGCTTCTCTAAAATCCTATTCTTCATTATATTCTTCATATGTTTGGATATCCTTTAAACATTTATCATCTATATTAAAATATCCCATTTAGATTTGAAGAAAAAAGAAATATAATTTTAAAAATCTTATATAAATTGTACATTTATTATCGAATAATATTTAAGTTGGTGTTGTTTTCATACTTAGTATTTTTTTTTCGTTTTCTACAACTATTGGATGATAATGACATTCCAACTGTTATCCAAAATGTAAAACGTCACTCCAGTCGTTTTTCGTTGCATAAAACGACACTACAGTCATTATCTACTGTGATTTGATTTTTTTCAACGAAACAATCTCTAATAATAAACTACTGACGTAAATAACACTGAAAATTTGATCATGTCACAAAGAAATATTGAAATAACATAGTTTTTATATTATCGAGATGGTGAAATCATAAGTTGTCCTACTCATATGTGTCAATTAAATTAATGGGCATATCTATTAACTTTTGTATATGTCATATGCATATCACAACATAAATAAGTACAACTTATTATTTTTTAGGGACACGTATGGATCATAACTACTTATAGTCATGTTTACACATGTGTCGCTTTCATGTCCAGTAACGATATTTGTACCGTTCAAAAGTTTTTACCTATATTTAATCATTTTCAATTAAATAACCTCTAATGACAGAGTCCATAATGTATGTAACATAGAAATGTTGACAATATCATAAAGAACGGTTGAAATGACATAGCTTTTATATTATCGAAATAGTGAGAGTACAAGTCATCCTACTTATATGTGTCGATTAAGTTAATAAATATATTATTTAACCTTTGTACATTTCATGTACATATTATAATGTAAACAAGTTTTACTCATTATTTATTGAGACGTGAATGGGGCGTGACCGCTTGTATTCGTTTTTACAAATAGAACGATACAAGGGTCATTTTTTCTCAATAAAGGAAGTTATGTCATTCCGTTGAATTCTCCAATATTTTAATTTATTTTTAAGACAAAGACATCAAACATTGGACCATCTAACATAAATAAGATGAAAAAGTTATTCATATGATAAAGAACGATAAAAGCATAAGATATTCTACTGATTAATTAAAATATAAATAATAAGCATTTCTCTCGATTTTTGTATATATCATGCTCATCTTACAACTTAAATGAGTTCAACTTATTGGTTCTCGGAGTCGTGAACAGGATGTGGCTGTTTTATAATCATGTTTACAAATAGAACGACTTATGAGTCGTTTTCTTCTCAGTAATGTCACTTGTGTCATTCTGTTGAGTTCTTCTATGTTTTAATTTATTTTTAACTCAAAACTTTAAGAATTGGACCCACTAATGTGCGTAAGATAGAAACGTTAATCACGTGACAAAGAATGATTTAAATGATTGGATCATATGATACTGAGTTGATAAAAACATAAGTTATTCTATTAGTTCATTATAATATAATTAATGAGCATATCTCTCAACTTTTATAAATATCATGTCCATCTTATAATCTAAATGAGTTTAACCTATTTGTTCTTTAAGCATGGATGGAACGTGGCTACATGTACTCGTATTTATAGGCAGAACGACACAAGTATCGTTTAACAGCTCTTATGTCGTTCTGTTGATTTCTCAAATATTTTCCTTCTTTTCCCAACGCAGCAACCTCAAATATGGATCCCCTAACTTAAAAAAGTTAGAAAGGTTGATCACATGACAAAGAAAGGTTGAATTGACATAGATTATACGACATTAAATTGGTGAAATCACAAATCATTGTATTAATTCGTTATAAAATATAGTCAATGAGCACATCTCTCAACTTTTGTAAACGGAATGTTCATATTACAATTGAAATGTGTTCAACTTATTGATTCTCGGGGCATGAATGGGTCGTGGCTACGTATAATTGTGTTTATAGACAAAACGACACAAGTGTCGTTTAACAACTCTTGTGTCGTTCTGTTGATTTCTGAAATATTTTGCTTAGTTTTCAACACAGAGACCTCAAACATGGATCTCCTAACTTAAGAAAGTTAAAAATGTTGATCACGTGATAAAGAAAGGTTGAATTGGCAGAGATTATACAACATTGAGTTTGTAAAATCACAAGTCATTACATTGATTCGTTAGAAAAATATAATCAATGAGCAAATCTCTCAACTTTTGTAAATGAAATGTTCACATTGCAATTGAAATGAGTTCAACTTATTGACTCTCGGAGCATGGATGAGTCGTAGCTACGTATAATCGTGTTTATAAACAGAACGACATAAGTGTCGTTTAACAGCTCTTGTGTCGTTCTGTTGATTTTCCGAATATTGTGCTTCTTTGTCAACGCAGCAACCTCAAACATGGATCCCCCAACTTAAGAAAGTTAAAAAGGATGATCATGTGACAAAGAACGGTTGAATTGACATAGATTATATGACACTGAGTTGGTGAAATCACAAGTCATTGTATTGATTGTGTAGAAAATATAACCAATGGGCACATCTCTCAACTTTTGTAAACGGAATGTTCATATTGCAATTGAAATGAGTTCAACTTATTGATTTTCGGGGTATGAATAGGTCGTGGTTACATATAATTGTGTTTATAGACAGAACGACACAAGTGTCGTTTAACTGTTCTTATGTCGTTCTTTTAATTTCTCAAAAAATTTGCTTATTTTTCAACACAGCGACCTCAAACATGGACCCCCTAACTTAAGAAAGTTAGAAATGTTGATCACGTGACAAAGAATGGTTGAATTGACATAGATTATACGACAATGAGTTAGTAAAATCACAAGTCATTGTATTAATTCGTTAGAAAATATAATCAATGAGCACATCTTTCAACTTTTGTAAACGGAACGTTCATAATGCAATTGAAATGAATTCAACTTATTAATTCTCGGGGTATGAATGGGTCGTGGCTACGTATACTCGTATTTATAGACAGAACGACACGAGTGTTATTTAACAGCTCTTGTGTCGTTTTATTGATTTTTCAAATATTTTGCTTCTTTTCCACTGCAGCGACCTCAAACATGGATCCACTAACTTAAAAAAGTAAAAAAGGTTGATCACGTAACAATGAACGGTTGAATTGACATAAGTATACGATATCGAGTTGGTGAAATCATAAGTCACTGTATTGATTTTTAGAAAATATAATTAATGAGCACGTCTCTCAATTTTTGTAAACGACATATCCATCTTACAGCTGAAATGAGTTTCCGGGTTATCTATACTCGTGTTTATAGATAGAACGATGCAAGTGTAGTTTTCTTTACAGTAATAGCACAAGTGGTTCTCATGGAGAAATTATATTTCGATAACGGCACTTGTATCGTTCTTTTAGAACTTTACATCTCAAAAACGGCAGAAGTGTCGTTCTTAATGACATTTTCATCCTCTAAGCGACATTTGTTCCATTATTTTAGAACTTTTCATTTCAATAACAGTACAAGTATCGTTTTCAATGACATTTCATCATCAAGCATTGTATTTGTAAAGTACGCGAGAAAAATAAATCACGTGACAAAGAACGATTGAAATGATATAAAGTTGTTGAAAGTACAAGTGATTCTATTATTTTCAACAAAATAAAAATAATGAACATATCTCTTATTTTTTAAAAAATTTTTAGGTCCACCTTACAACTTAATTGAGTTCAACCTATTATTTCTTGACTCAAGGACGGTTGTAGCTGCTTAAACTTGTAATTATAGATAGAATGGCACAAGTGCCTTTTTATTATTAGTAACGACACTTGAGCCGTGGTATTGATTTCTCCTTCATTTTCGTTTGTTTCCAAAGCTACAACTTTTCGAATTGAACTGCTTAAGTTGTATTGTTCTCACAGTAATAATAGAAGTTCATATTTTGGTAACATCACTTATGTCGTTCTCTTAGAACTTTATATTCCAGTAACGACGCTAATAACGTTCTAGAGACTTTTCATCTCAACAACGACACAAGTGCCATTTTTATAGACAAGTATATTTACAAGTATAATGATAGCTTTAAAGTTCTTATAGAGGTTCTCATCTTAATAGTAGCACAAGTGTCGTTCTCATAGACAAGTAAATTTACAATCATAACGGCAGCTGTGCCATCATTGGGAGGTTAGACTGACAATTAATGAGCATATTTCTCAACTCATATTTATAGATAGAACACAAAATGGTCGTTTCATTTCAGTAACGGCTCTTGTACCGTTTTATTGATTTCTCCTGTATTTTGATTTTATTTCAGCACAATGATTTCAAATATCAGACCCTAACAAAGTATAAATATTTTCATGTCAGTAACATACGTCAGGGAGTTCATTATTGAATACCGTTTTGTTGAAAAAATCGGATATATGTGAAACATCTAGAACGACACAATTGTCGTTACTGGACATGAAAACGACACTTGTGTTGTTATGTACATAAATACGAGTATAAGCAGTCACGATCCGTTTGCTCCCAAAAAATAATAAGTGAAACTTATTTATATTGTAATATGTATATGACACGTACAAAAATTGATAGATATGTTCATTAATTTAATGGACACATATGAGTGTGATGACTTTTGCTTTTACCATTTCAATAATATAAAATATGTCATTTCAATCATTTTTTGTGACTAGTCAATTTTTTTGTATTATACGTTAGCGAATCCATTATTAGAGGTCATTTTAATGAAAAAAT